GACATGTCTCTACGAATTTGGTAAGCGTGTGATCAGAGTTCTTGGTTTATGTTTATTCAGATGGCAAAGATAGTTAGTGTCGTCAGTGGTCCTCTTTCAGTTCAAAAGACATACCTTAGCCAAAATAATTGAGTTACTAAGTTTACAGTAATATCACTACAATATTATGGACGGAAAATCCTCCACTTCCACACAGCTCTCCTATCCACTGTAAATGTTGCTCTCCAAATCACCTCTCTGTGTCTGTGTTTGTGTTGTGAAAATCAGCTGTAGTGCACGTAATGAAACTCCCCTTTTCATGCAATCCATTCCCTCTTTCGCCACTCGACACTCTCAACTAAACATAGCTGGAATCAACTTTTTTAGTGCTTGATTAAAAACTAGTAAAGTCTCAGTGTAGCTTTCCTTATTCAAATACTTTTCCTAATACCACAATGCTTATGAACAAATGTATAGTCATAGATACAAAAATATATCTAGGATGGATTTAATAATTATTATTTTTCCATTCAGCTATGGGTAAAACAAAACACAATTAATTCTCAGACACTTAAAACATCACTTAAACTCACAGGAACTGTGGGGTGGAGAGGAAGGAGCGACCGCCCAGATCCATGGGATATTTGAACATCAGAAAGAAGTACAGATGGCCAACCAAATTTCCAATCAGCTCATTAACAACACTGACGAGAGAAATGATTATTGTTACAATCGTTTTGTGACTGTGAGGACTCCTTATAGTGCAAGATTTACACTAAACGACTGAAAATGAATTTATGAGGGTTCTTACGAGCCACCGATGATATAGTTGAATCCAAGGATGACCCAGGGGAGATAACAAGCCTGTGTTAGTGTGAACAATAACAGGGTTCAGAGCGAAGCACTAAAAGATGTTGGTACAACATATTAAAAACACACTGGGATCAACTGAACACCTTGAATCTGGTCCCGAACCAGAATGATACGATTGTGTCACGATTCAGCTGAGCCCAGACGTACAGAACAGACATGATCAAAGGGATCATCAGGAGCTGCAAAAGACAAATAAAGGAAATTTTCTTAAAAAGCATAATAGAACTTCTCACACAATTAAGACAAAAGATGCTTTTAAATGTCATTCAATGCTCCTTTAAAAAATAACGGTCACATCACAAAAAGCTTGATTAACAAGAAGAATGCTCATAAATGTCATCTGATGAAGTAACACAATGATTCAGACGTTTCGTTTTTTAAATTACGTGCTTTAAAATCATTAATCAAAATACTATTTAATGATTTAAGTGATACAAGGGTGATGATGTTTGATTTAATGATATTGAGGTTTTTAAGAAAAAAAAACTGATCATCAGAAAGGTCTTTAGAACAGCAGATCGACAAATTATATTAATTTCTGAAGGATAATATGACACTCAACAATGAAAGAATGGCTGGTAAATATTGCCATTCTACCAATTAATTGTATTATAAAATACACTCACTGGCCACTTTATTAGGCACACCTTACTAGTACCGAGTTGGACCACTTCCTGCCATCCTTCGTGGCATTTGGGTACATTGAACTCATTGTTCAAGAAAGCAGTCTGAGATGATTCCTGCTTTATGACATGGCCCGTTATCCTGCTGGAAGTAGCCATCAGAAGATGGGTACACTGTGCTCATAAAGGTATGGACATGGTCAACAACAATACACAGGTAGGTTGTGGTGTTGACATGATGCTCAATTGATACTAATGAGCTCAAAGTGTGCCAATAAAATACCCCACCAGCCCATTACACCACCAGCCTGAACCGTTGATACAAGGCAGGATGGATCCATGCTTTCATGTTCTTGATGCCAAATTTTGACCCTACCATCCAAATGTCGCAGCAGAAATCGAGACTCATCAGACCAGGCAACGCCTTTTCAATCTTCTATTGTCCAATTTTGGTGAGCCTGTGTGAATTGTAGCCTCAGCTCCCGTTTTTAGCTGACAAGAGTGGTACCTGGTTTGGTCTTCTGCTGCTTTAGCCCATTCGCCAAGGTTAGCCCAAGGTTGGATGTGTTGTGCGTTCAGAGATGTTCTTCTGCATACCTCGGTTGTAATGAGTGGTTATATTTGAGTTACTGTTGCTTTTCTATCAGCTCCAATCTGTCTGGCCATTCTCCTCTGACCTCTGGCATCAACAAAGCATTTGCACCCAGAGAACTGCTGCTCACTGGATATTTTCTTTCTTTAGGATCATTCTCTGAAAACCCTAGAGATGGTTGTGCATGAAAATCCCAGTTGATCAGCAGTTTCTGAAATATTCAGACCAACCCATCAGGCACCAACAACCATGGCACATTCAGAGTCACTTAAATCACCTTTTTCTCCCATTCTGGTGCTCGGTTTGAACTGCAGAAGATTGTCTTGACCATGTCTACATGCCTAAATACATTGAGTTGCTGCCATGTGATTTAGCCGATTAGAAATTTACGTTAACGAGCAATTGGACAGGTGTACCTAATAAAACAGTTATTTCAAATTGTAATACTACACCACAATGTTGCTATTTTTAAACTGTATTTTCTTATCATGCAGCACTCAAGAAAACACAGTTTTAAATCTATTTTATGGGTCAATTATAAATTCTAGCTAAAATGGAGTGGATGATTTAGATATATTAAGATATATAATCTTACCTGCATGTCCATCATTAAGCCTGTTATCTGAATCATAAATATTAAGGACAGATAAAAGCTGTAAAATAAATGTGACTCATAGAAAATATTTTGCTTGTTCAGTAGAACGTTTAAAGCATGAAAACCACATCCTCAAGGGATATTACGTCTTTAATGCAATATACGAAAATGCTGAATTCAGCACAACTCATTCACAGTTAATGTAGGCATTCACCGCACAGATGCAAATCATTTCATGACACTAAATAATCACTTGTTTGCTCTGCACGGAATGACACATTTAATCTTTTAAAATATTACAGTATGGTGTGTGTGTGTGGAGTGCAGAAAGGATACGACAATGCAAATCCAGTTGAACAGAAGCATGAACATGTAATCTGCAGGTCTTCCATCAAAAGCCCCTGTAAAAGAGAGAAGGATGAAAGTCACATCCTAAGCTAATTATTTCACTTACTCTTACTAAAGATACTGTATACTGAAGTAAATGTTAAAAGGGAATTAAAAATAAAAAACTAAAAAACTAATGCAATCACCAGAAGCCCAATAAAGCTATTTTATTTCATATAAAGTGGGTTTGCAGAAAAATCACATGACCAGCTGAATGTTTTATTTTGATAATCCTCTTATTACTGGACATTTTCACTCATGGAATTAATCATGACTATGATTACAGCATTTCTTACAACTGCATTAGTAAAAAGTTTTGTCAGTATGTTGACTTTCTCAGAATAAAAGTCTGTTCACATCATAAAGAGTAACTGTAATGTTAACCATATTACCATTTACTTTATACAATACACATTATACATTGACTTGAAGAGACAGTTTACCAAAAACATAACATTCTGTCCTCATTTAGTCACGCTTCAGTTGCTTAAAATATGTTTGAGTTTCTTCTGTTGAACATAAAAGAAGCTATTAAGAAAAAAAGAAATGTTGGTCTCCGTTGACTTCCATAGGAAAAACAACCTATGGAAGTCAATAGTGACTTTCGAACATTCTTCAAAATCTCTTCTTTTGTGTTCAATAGGGGAAAAAACTTGAAAGGTCTTGAACCACTTGAGAGAGAGAAAAAATAATGAGTAAATGTTTATTTATGGGTGAACTATTCCTTTAAATGCTGACACATTAAGTGAATTCTTATAGTGTTAAACTGTTCATCAGCTGAAACAAATATTCCAATTATCTATATAGCTGCGGAGTGGACTTTTAAAACAATATATCATCACTGCTATGCATGGGCCATAATTATGAAGATTTAATACTTGTTCTAATTTTATGAGCAAATAAAGTTCACAGAACAACTATTAGGATAATGACACAGACATGACTGCAGAACTAGTTTTATAGCATTTTTGCGCTTTATTTGAAAATTTTCATATTACTGTCCTATATTGCTGTGGTCATTATTTTAAGACAAAGAAGTTACCCGTTTCAAGCCTCGATGAGTACTGGTAGAGGAAATACAAATTAACCAAGTAGAGAAAACCTGTGCCTGGACCAACTGGGAAATACAACGTTGCAGTAATCGGTCTCCATATCTGTTGAAAGAACACAGGAAAATGATTAATGACTTGACCCTACTGAAAGTACTGAAGCATCAAAGTAGATATTGACGGTTTACTTACACACACACACAAACAAACAAACAAACACACACACACACACACACACACACACACACACACACACACACACACACACACACACACAATTATATCTTATGTATACACTGTTGTTTTAGCAAGAACAATATTCATACAGCCATCTCATTCACTTTTAATTATTTTGACTGCTTGAAATGCTGCTTTTTGAAACTTTTAAAAGATTTTTCAATATTTTATTTTTTAGAACAACCCCTTCCTCAACAATTTAACACTTTAAAAGATGAGGAAATAAATAAAAAATGATATTATATATTTTTAAAAACAAAATAAAATACATAATGCAAAATAAATAAATAAATACTGCCATAATAAATACTTTTTAGGGGATACATTTGTTCATCAAGTTATATTGTGCTACATTGTAGTTACCTCAGATCGCATTGGCAATAGTTTAAGTAACCTCAATGTACAGATCTAAATATGTTGGAATACCTTTCCATCTCTTCAGAAAAATATTATCTGACATGCAGTCATTTTTTCCATTACATAGACCTGTTTAAGTCACTGAGCCACCTTTGGAGAACCTTTTTCCATCCAATATACTATTTTGCAAGCAGTAATACTATCCTCAGTACAAATCCTGTTTCATCAGTAAACATTTTTGAGCAGTGCTCCCAGTCAGCACACAACTGGATTAAGGGGTATTTCTATATCTAATATTTTATCCATTTCTTTTTTTTTTTTAACAATTCTCCAAAATTCCTGAATCTTAGTCCGTAAAAATGTGGGGAGGATCTCCAATTTTACCACATTTTCTCGAACACAAAGCAACAGATGGTCATTTTACACATGTAGAAATTTTCTAAGAGACATGTTTAAGGGATTATATGCAAGATCCTTCATTCATTGTCTTAGGTAAACCCAAATCTCCACTCAATTATCACACTTAAGAGGGAAAATGTGCTTTATGCAATATTAAAATAATATGAAGCTTGAAACATCAGAATCGGTATCGGCCGATCACCATGACAAGGAATTGGTACTCGGCTCCCAAAAATCCTGATCACAGTTGAAGTCAGAATTATTAGCTCCCCTTTAAATTTTTTTTCTTTTTTAAATATTTCCCAAATGATGTTTAACAGAGCAAGAAAATTGTTGAAGTATGTCTGATAATATTTTGTCCTCTGGAGAAAATCCTATTTGTTTTATTTCGGCTAGAATAAAAGCAGTTGAAAATTTTTTAAACACCATGTAAAGGTCAAAATTATTAGCCCCTTTAAGCTACATTTTTTATTATTGGCCTACAGAACAAACCATCGTTATACAATAACTTGCCTAATTACCCTAACCTGCCTAGTTAACCTAATTAACCAAGTTAAGCCTTTAAATGTCACTTTAAGCTGTATAGAAGTGTCCTAAAAATATATAGTAAAATATTATTTAGGGTCATCATGGGAGGTAAAATAAATCGGTTATTAGAAATGAGTCTTTAAAACTATTATATTTAGAAATGTGTAGAAAAAAAATCTAAACATTATCAAATAATAATAATAATAATAATTATATAAATGACTAATGCACATTTTAACTTATTTTACATTTTGTTATTGGCGTAATTTTCAGGATTCACAAATAAAATAAAAATTATATATATATAAAATAAAAAAATAATAAATAAATAAATAAATAAATAAATATATATATATATATATATATATATATATATATATATATATATATATATATATATATATATATATATATATATATATATTTACAGAACGGTTTGCAGAGACAGAGGCGCAATGACATTATGAAGACGCAATAATGTTTAGATTCTTGCACAGAAGATTCAGCTTCAAAAGACCTCAATGTATCATCAGAGGACATGGTTATTAATCTGGTTTTTGCTAGTATGTTTTTTGACTCTAAAGGTGGCAGTTGACTTGCAATTTATAAATCACCCAGGAGTTTCAGTTTCAGCTACAACCCTTTTTAAACGCTCTACTCAAGAAAAAAAAGTCACCTACATCTTACATAGCCTGAGGGTGGCATAAATTAACAGCAAATTTTCACATTGAGCTGAACTCAATGCCTTAAAGAAGAAATCAAGAACAGTCACTGAAAATATACACGCGCCAGCACGATTTGTATGCAATCACCAGCACTGCCTGAAAGTTCAGATAAAATGGAGTGGCTTCCATGCTTGCACTGCAGATTTGATTCCCCACACATTCTGAAGTCATTATTACCCATATGCCCGAGCACAACTGCAGCTATTACACCAGACACAAACTGACACTCATCTGGCCTGTTATCCAGATTTGCTCCGTAATTCCCAGACTAGAAAAAAAAACTAGGTCAGTAAACAACAAACGCACAACCCTGCACATTTTTTAAAACTCTCCAGTGTTTAATTTGCCCTCAGCACAATGACTGCACATGCACACATTATCCCTCTCTGTATTCTCCGTCTGTCTCGTCCTCCTCCCTCACTTCTAGTTCTTTCTCTCCTCCCTCTTCTGAGCTAGCAGGGATTTTGGGTCGGTCTGGAGGACTGTGAATCCGCTGAGCAGCAATGCTTTGATGTTGGCGTCTGAAGCGGCTCTGCGGTAGTCAGGCAGTCCAGCGCAGCGGCCTCTGCAGCAGAAAACACGCAGACTCGCTAGTGTGTGAAGAGAGAGAGAGGTGACCTCTGTGGACTGCAGCGCACAGAGAAGTGGGTTAAAAAGCACAGCAGGGTTGGTATGCCGTGAGAGGACGGGGAGAGCTTTGTTTGGCAGCTTCTCGCCAGCTAAATGATTCAGCTCTGTAAAACAGTAGAAACTTGTACAGACAGGATAGAGGTCATAAATTGTTAGCCACTAGCTAGTTGTGTCTTAATAGCAGCACGAGTGGATAAATCACAGAAAATCTGTATGAAAAAGAGCTCAACCTTTAAGTGGCTAAATTATAACCAAAATTGCAGCTACCCAAAAAAAAAGAAGAATCATCGCTGGTTAATTAGCCATTAGCAGAGGTCAAACGCTCTGTGTCTGAATGTTCAGTGCATCATTTAAGAAGACGTGTCATGGAAACAGATTAAAAGCATTATTGATGCCATTTGCAAACTATATCAGCTAAAAATGCCAGTAAAATCTCACTGTTTAGGACACAGTGACATTTGATAAATGTTAAACACCACAAGTGTTACCAGATAGTGTAAAGTGGGTATGCAGATGCATTATAACATTTATTTTAGAGGCTTTTCTTCTTCAAGAATTATTTATTAATCCACTTCCAGTCGAAGTCAGAATTATTAGCTCCCCTGCTTATTTTTTTTCATCAAATTCTGTTTAACGGAGGGAAGATTTTTTCCAACACATTTCTAAACATAATAGTTTTAATAACTCATTTCTAATCACTGATTTATTTTATATTTGCCATGATGACATTAAATAATATTTAACTAGGTATTTTAAGACACTTCTTTACAGCTTAAAGTGACATTTAAAGGCTTAACTAGGTTAACTAGGCAGGGTAGGGTAAGTAGGCAAGTTATTGAAAACGATGTTTTGTTCTGTAAACTATCGAAAAAGAATATAGCTTAAAGGGGCTAATAATATTGACCTTAAAATCATTTTTAAAAAATATTATCATACATACTGTGAAAATGTCCTTGCTCTGTTAAACATAATCTGGGAAACATTTAAAAAAGAAAAAAAAAAGAAATCGAATGGGGGCTAATAATTCTGACTTCAACTGTATATGGTGGCTGTTTAAAAGAGTGACTATTAATATTTTAGATTAGTGGTTCTTCAAGCCCACATTTCCAGCACAATATTCAGTGCCTGACTCCATATATGTCAAGATATTTCTGCTGTGATTATTTCAAAATTTTCAATTTTGCAGTGATACAATTTATTTACATGATTAATTAATTAAATACGCTAAAAAATGAATGAACCGCCTTTTTGGTATTCCGTTAGTATTCTTTATTGCAAAATTATGTGAACCTGAAAACAAGGTGAGGAAAACTAAAATGAAAACTGCTTTCAGTTCTTGATTTGAACTTGACTGTTTTCAGTTAATTGTTTATTAAAACAGCTTGAATTACATAATCATACAGCAAATCAATGCAGCAAATATATAATATTATTGTTATTTTTTGTAATGTACAATTTGCATTATGTAATCCTTTCATCAAAACCATTTCAGTCAAAATTTAACTAAATTTTTTTTATCTATTTCTTCCACACAAAACTGTAATTTACAAACTTTTCTAAAGGAAGTCTCCATAACCTATACTAGGGGTTCCCAAACTTTTCAGCTCACAACCCCTAAAATAACAATACCAGTGACTTGCGACCCCCACATTTCTTGGAAGTGGTTATAAATATAAAACATTGTGCACACAACAGTAGGCCTATATAAACATGAGCATATTGACAACACAAAAAAGTGCAACAGTCTAACAATCATATAATTTTTATAGTCATTTATTAATTTGTTTAATTTAACCTCAGCTAAAGAGACTGGTGAGCACAATGTTCACAGCACAAGTCATTCTTGGTTTAATTTTTGAAACCACCAAGCCAGAGATCATTCTCAGTGTTCAGTTGCGGCCTGTATGTATTTTAAATGTATTTGATTGCCATAAAGGTGTCTAAAAGTTTAACCTGGTGCGTTATAATGTAAACACACCAATCCTATGAAAAAAAAATTATTGAAAGCCTGACAGCTTTTTATTTGCATGTTGTTTTTGATGCAACTATTAACTACTATTTTTTATCTTCTGTGGGTTATGCATTAAATATGGTAATACATTTACATTTAGTCATTTAGCAGACGCTTTTAGTTTAATAACATTCTTTTTACTTTTGGAAATCATTAAGTGACCCCCACTCTGGGAAACACTAACCTATATTGCATTTACATGAACACGTGCTATAACA